TGTTTTGAAAGTATAGCTATAATTAATTTTGGAATAAAATTTTGTGTAAACCATGCCTACTCTGTATGAATTTTTTATGATAGCAGAAATAGTTAATTATGCAGTGAATACCATTACCTGCACTTTACTGTGCAACTTCATCTGTACTATGTCAGAATTATTGTTTTTCTTTTTTTTCCCATTCCAGAATGAGTTGAAGGGTGTCATTGATATATCAGACCCAGACAACAAATCAGCAAGTGCTCGAAGGAAGGAACGCATTGCCTGTGAGCAAGGTGTTTTTGATGAGGACCACTATCTCGCAGATTACTTTGAGATGGATACAGTCCGAGAGTACCTTGAGTTTATACCTGAATTTTACAGCGTTACCTCAGATGAAGGTGGGTTGTAAGTTTATATACCTGGTTTTACATCTCTTTTTAGCTTACTGTTGTTCTGATTTTGATAAATGAGTATCTTCATTTTCTTATCTTTTATTACAGATGTCTCTTATCTTTTATTACAGAGGTCTCAGTTTTGTTTGCTAAGTTACTGCATTTTTATATTATAAGTTATTCAAAGAATAAAGCTTGCTGCCATAGTAATGTGACAGTACACAGGGCTGTGAGTGAGTGAGTGAGTGAGTGAGTGAATCTGTGAGTGAGTGAGTGAGTGAGTGAGTGAGTGAGTGAGTGAGTGAGTGAGTGAGTGAGTGAGTGAGTGAGTGAGTGAGTGAGTGAGTGAGTGAGTGAGTGAGTGAGTGAGTGAGTGAGTGAGTGAGTGAGTGAGTGAGTGAGTGAGTGAGTGAGTGAGTGAGTGAGTGAGTGAGTGAGTGAGTGAGTGAGTGAGTGAGTGAGTGAGTGAGTGAGTGAGTGAGTGAGTGAGTGAGTGAGTGAGTGAGTGAGTGAGTGAGTGAGTGAGTGAGTGAGTGAGTGAGTGAGTGAGTGAGTGAGTGAGTGAGTGAGTGAGTGAGTGAGTGAGTGAGTGAGTGAGTGAGTGAGTGAGTGAGTGAGTGAGTGAGTGAGTGAGTGAGTGAGTGAGTGAGTGAGTGAGTGAGTGAGTGAGTGAGTGAGTGAGTGAGTGAGTGAGTGAGTGAGTGAGTGAGTGAGTGAGTGAGTGAGTGAGTGAGTGAGTGAGTGAGTGAGTGAGTGAGTGAGTGAGTGAGTGAGTGAGTGAGTGAGTGAGTGAGTGAGTGAGTGAGTGAG